AGTAGGGGCAGGCTGTATGACAGGCGATTAACATGCGGATCACAGACCCCGAGTCGGGGCTAGGCGAGGCACAGTGACCGTGGCGACGACGGGAGGACACCGCCCATGCCTGCACAGCGGCCAACGAGCCCGGACGTGGGACGCCCGACGGGGGAGGACCACAACGTTTTGGCAGCACCAGGAATGACTCGAGCGGACTTACGCTTGGCACGGGGGTTGCTCGACGCGATGCACTCTTGCCATGCTGATTGGAGCACCTGGACCCGCAACCGCGCCACTGGGAACGCAGGGATTAGGGCTGTGCGCCGTCCCGTCGCCGGGCACGGCCGTCGTTTCGACGGGTGGGCGACGGGCAAACCCGTCCCGTCTCCGTCCCGTCGTTGAAGTTCAGAATATCTCTAAGGAACGGGACGGGCGACGGGACGGCCGTCGACGGTAGACGGTGGGCGACGGTCTGTCCGCAGCCTATTTTTGGTTTAAAAGAGTTGTTTGTGGCGTCTATGGTCCCCGTTTGGAAGTTTGATCCGTCGGCAGACGGATCGGCTAGTCTCGGCTAGTCTCGGCTAACCAAGCCTCCGTGATGCAAAACAAAAAAATTGTTACAAACTTACGGATTTGGACTTGACAGCACATATTGAATGTAATAAGTATATATTGGGTAGATCCGAGTAAGAGCTGGTAATTGTGCCCACGCTGCCACAGTATAAATTATGTGAATATGTTACCCCACCCGTCGTAGTCCGTCGTGCCGTGACGGCCGTTGTTTCGACGGCCGTCACTTCATCAAACCGTCCCGTTGCCGTCCCGTCGAATAATTGTTTCAAAGCCCGACGGAACGGGTCGGCTACCCGTCGCACGGAACCCGTAAAACCGGCGCGACGGGTACGGCGCACAGCCCTAGCAGGGATCAGATCTCAGAGTTAATAGAGCAGATCGACAGTTGCAAAGAGGATAGATGGGGCGCCACATCCACATCCGCCGCGCGCTCCCACACCAGAACACCAGGCTGACACCTCTGACTGTTGCCTGCCACAACAGTGTGCACGTGTTGAACATCCCGGCACCGGCAACCAAAGGTGTGGTTGGTGCTTACGGAAGGACGGAGATCTACCGGCAAATCGGCAAGCAAGCAAGTGCCCGTCGGCAGTCAGGCGGGCAATCCGCTGCAATCCGGGAGATAACGGAGACGTGTAAAAGCTTTCCCATCCGCGCAGCTCGGCTCCCGAGTGGCGCCGCGATGTGCTGGCTGGCTGAAGGCACCGCACGTATTGCAACTCGTGGAACGTCTGTTTTTTTTTTTGTTCCGGCGCTTTCTGCCAGCGTGCATTATGTGTGGGTTGCCTCGGGAGAAAAAATCCAGACCGTTGCTGCAATGACACGGTGGGTTCCGCGTGGATCAAGTTGCTTAGCGTCGACCAAGAAGTGAAAAGTACATGCCAGTTGAGAACTTGAAGCCCAAGGAAGACTTCAAGTTGTGGCCGTGGATTTGCAGCTTGAGACTGATTCAGCTGAGCATGGGCAAATAGCGGACCTCTTGAACTCGCGACACGCCGAACATTATTAATCGTTGATATCAAGCCGGCCCACAACGCCAGCTCCTGCTCTTGAAACTTGAAGTGCTATCGCTTATTATCTCGAGCTCGATGGATTGACAGGCAATTCAACTAAGATTCCGGAACTGCTGGAGTCTGAAGCTTGTCCGGGATATATCGAATACATAGCTTATCTACACTTTTCCTGAAGGCAATAATTGGTTTACTCGTCAGTATCAAAATGACACACTCCGGAACCACAAGAGCAAGAGCTGATCAGGACATTTTGGACAGAAAGGAGTCGAAGCTGCGACCGACGCCCTAGGTCTATCGATTCGACCGTTCTACCAGGCAAGTAGACAATGAACGGTTGCGACCCCGGAATTTCCGAGTCTGTGTGCTTCATGTCTTCTCGAAACGTACAACATCCCGGCGGTGGCGCGCACGGTTCCCAAAAATCCCACGTACGAAAGCCTTTCAAGTTCGGTTCAGTGAGGCGCCACGTGGTGTACACCCGGCACTCGCGGCGTCGGGCACGACAAGACGCCAGCGAGTCGTCTGCGAGTCGTCTTTGTAATTGCGACTTTCGCCTGACAGGCGTGTCTGCGGTTACTGTGCGATGTCCACACAGCGGCGGTGATGGCGGCACGGGTGCCAGTGAAAGCTTGGCAGCGCTGACAGTGGGCGACGGCGAGCGCATGCGCACGGGCGTCCGTGAAGCAACGAGGAAGTTCTCAGCAGCGCGGGACAAGCGCGCGATTACTGAGTGCGGCCTCGTGGGCAACTGTGCAGTGTGGGCTCCGCGCAGGATCCGAGGAGGTGCTGTTGTACGCGTTTGGCGCATGGGAATGTCGCACATACCGACCCAGTACGGCGGTCGGCGGACCGCGTCTCTGGCTAATTGAATCAAACTTCCTTCGCCCGCCTCAATGCCAGTGCAGTTGGATGTGAGTTGACGGAAGCCTCACGAGTACATAGAGGTGCCAGAAATGTGCAGACACCACATGCTTGTTCGTCTCCCTTCGGACGGGATTTGACAGCCCACGATTCGCCACCGCGACTGCTATTGACATCCCACGAGACAGGCCATTGAACTGTGAGTTACTTTTGCCGTCGTCCTCTTCGGAAGACAGGTTTTGATCGGAAGCGAATAAAGCCACGCCTTGCCGAGTTTTGGCCGGCGCCAAAAGGGAACAAGGTCTTAGCCAAGTGAAAACAACGAATTACGAATCAACTCCACTGTACTGTAGTATTTTAATCAGTTCGGACGGGGGTTTGAGATGTGACACGCCTGTCCGAATGTACCCTTTCGGACGATCCATTGGTGACGCTGTGACGTCCGAAAATTTTTCGTACACTACACACCCGGCCCGCAGGGCCGCTCCAGCTAAAAAGCGTGGATATTTTCTGCCCCGGGAGACCCTTTCGGACGGGCTCTATGTGACCCTGTGACGTCCGAAAATTTTCGGAAATTTTTGGGCCTGTGACACGTGACTGTCCGAATTGATTAAAATACTACAGTATTCCCGGCCGGTGTTCTCTGCACTGGACATGGTTCGACGCGGGAAACAGAATGCCTGTGTGTGAGCGTGATCACTGGATGCCGAGATGCAAAGCTTTGCAGCGAGAACCTATAGAAGCGAGAACACGTAGTTGAGCTTCTGGCTTTCGACAGGAAGGATGGAGGAGCGTCACGCGGTCACGATCACGGGCCTCCGCTTTCGTACAACTTTCTTTCCCCCGCCTGTCGCGGGTTCCCTCCGAGGGACCTTCGCGAGCATCTATATCTAGCTGCCTGCAGGCTGCTGGTTCACAGCAGCAATTTGCTGCCTCGCGGCACCTGGTCAGATTGGTGTTCGACTGGACGCCACAAAGCCGAGCGAGTGGGAATTTGCCAGTGGGAACTTTCATGTGAGCGCGCGCGTCTTGGCCTACTTACCGAGGCTCCCATGATATCGATCCAAAGGTGTTTCCAGCCCCAAGACATGCATATTTGATTCAAGAGAAAGTGAAGAAGACTGTTGGTGGCGACGTGGGACGCGCGCTTCCCACCACCATTACCATAGCATTCTTCGCCGTTTATTTTGCTTCCCGTGCGCTCTAAGCCATGGCTCCTATGGTGCACATCGCAACGCCTTCTCCCGCCCGTTCGCTCGATATCACCGTCGCGCCATACAAATCGACAGTTAACTACACGCTCAATTACTGCATGTTACGTGCGCGTGTCCGTATTGCTCAGGCTCACGGGGCCAGAAACAAAATACTGATATGCCGGCATCTTTCCGTCCTGCATTCAGCCAGCCATCTCTTCACCCTACTCCACCGATCCAGTCGGCCCTTGAATGTTTATCAAGCTCGTTCTTCACGGATGGCGTCTCGTCTGGGTTTCAGTCACAAAGCCTGCCATCTATCGTTTTGCGCTCTAGAGCCCGCTTATCTTGCGCCCGCTACGATCGCTCTTTCTGTGCGCCAAGATATGTTCCCAGGATCGCTGCCTCTATCACCACCACCGCCTCCCGCTGATGTTACAGGCGTACATAGTTCCCGTCCGCTATCATGATGCGGCGTACTATATCCTTTGAGTGTCGCGGGTTTTTCACTCCCGTTGAAATCGTCGCCGACCTCTTTCCTGTTCGCTGCCAGTTTGGGTTCAATATTGCCACCTCGTCGCGCACCTTCAGCTCTATACATGTACCATGCAATATAGGTCTGTTTTAGCTTGTTCATAAGTTGTTCGTTTTATTGCAGCACGTTTTAAAAATAAATTTGATCTTTCCCTGAAGACGTCAATGCAGAGCGTTGTTCGGATACGTGCCGAAGAGAGCGAGCATCATCGCCCGCCTCCTTTCGCCTCATGGGCGAACTCAGGCGCAAAACAGTTTCGAAACAAGCCATTCTCCTGGCCGGCGTTTCTGGGAAAGCCTGCATCGTTAGGGAAAGGACGGCATAGGGACAGCAGACTAAAATATCACAGCAACTTTCGACTTCCTCGACGTTCCGATTGCTCACTGCTCCGTAGCATTGGCAAGTAATTACTTCTCCCAAATCTATACGTCTCGTGGTTCACCTCATGATCATGGCGTGGACATCCCGAGGTCTTGCATTACTCGACAGGACATCACAGTTAAAGTGTACTGCATCATGGGCACTATACACCACGGGCTACCACATCGCTGCCCGTATATGGTGGCTCTTAAGCTAACCATGGCGATTCAGGCTGATTAATGTCGCGTTGCCTACTGCCCGGGTGACTGGCGCGATACCCGATCCATTGCCATACATGTATATAAGTATTGGACATTTTGCGTGCGTCGTATTTGCGCGCTTTGTAGTAAGTGCGATGGACACATAAATCTATTGATTCCTTCACATGCTGAACTAGTGGCCGTGGATTTGGTTGGGACAGCCCAAGGTCCAAGTTTTAAAGAACAAAAAAAATCTTCTGAAGGAACCTAGTCCAGTTCGTCAGGTCCTGAGGTGGAATCGAACCACTGACTACAGTTCATGATCAAGCATTGTTGTAATCGTCGGACAAGAGACTGTGGGCGACCACTAGCCTTTCAGGACGGCGTAATATTCGGGGGTCCAAACTTCAAAGATGATAAAAAACTCTTACATCCAACATATAGGTCCTGAAGTGGATCCGATCGAACCACTGACTACAGTTCAAACTTGTCAAGCTTCATATATGTACAAGACACTGTGAGCGACCACTAGCCCTTCAGGACGTCGTACTGTGGGTCAAGCAAGGTACTAGAACGTCCGTATAGTAAGGCCTTATTAATTATTATGAGGGGCATGCCGGAGGGCATTCCTGTCAAATCGCACTGTCTTAAGCGCTTACTTTCGTAGATGCTTGGTATCGCAAGGCGTTTTTCAAGTTGAGAGGCTGGACGCCCGTGGCCTTGTTGTCACGGGTAGAACCCAATAAAAAATACAACATTTCCTTGCAATGCATAGTCCTGAGGTTCTCCTGAGGTAGAGTCGAACTGCCACCCACAGTGAATAGCTATTGCATCCAGGCCAATAAACTGCTGACTACCACTAGCCTTCCAGGACGTCATTCTACTATTATATGGCAGCTATTTACATACTAAACGGCTTGCGCAATTGCACACTCGGCCTCGCCCGGCCTGAGCTGAATGGAATGAAAATAAGTGACAAGTGCGGCGTTGTGCTAAACCAGTTACTGCGAACTTACCGATGTGATTGGGCTCTCGGCTTGAGGCACCAGCATCTGTTTGCTTTCTTGGATATCTGGAGCTGAAGTTGTGCCTTGGGCCTGGGCGGGATATATGAACTTGTGTACACAAAGATTCAGACTAATGCTGAAACGCCTAAATTCGCTGCAACGTTGGGGACCTGCCCAGTGAACCGCTCGAGATGATTGCTGGTGTGGGTAGGCTCCTCATTCGTAGGCCTCGTGCGCCACCGCACACGGTGCCGGCGCTTCAAACCCTATGGCGTGCCATACGGGTGAGTGCGCCAGCTGACCAACGAGCAACAGGCCTCTAAGTTGCCACACCGAGTCGGAGAGTAGGCGCGTAGAATGCATTTATATGCATGGTGCATGTTGACGTCGTACACGACTTCATGGATATGCACTGGCACGCATGACCGTCAGTGCGTCCAATGTTGCGGGCACGGTTCCGCCGGAGTGCGCACTTTCATGAGTTTCGGTGTCAGGGTACCGTCGGCTCCTTCGTAAGGCTCATTGGAGGTATTGAGCTCCCCGTGTATGATGAGCGCGGCGTCCGGGAGATCGTAGTCTATAGAGCAATAAAGCACGTGACGGTATGTTGATCCAGATTGGAGTGATGTTGAGAAACACATCCGGTTTCTGGCATCCCAGCTCGCCGAAAAAATCCAGGGAAATTTGAGGGTATTGTTAATTACATGTTCTGCGTCATCAGAATTTTTTACCGGTGCGCCGTTGTTGTGTATAGGAGATGAGCCGTTGAGAGCGTGACAGATTGAAACTCCGCTCGCCAAACATCAACAACATCAACGGCGACTGTCGATGCGACGCGTTGTTGCTGTATCTGAAAGGATCAGCCGTGCTGAAACAATAAGCTTCTCGGACGATGCGCAACCGAAAGCATCTTATTGTTTGGAACATGATGAAAGCGCATAACGGGCTTTCGGGGGTCCCGCCCCAGGTTCGATTCTCGTATACGTACACCCTGCTTCCTCGGTACAGCCGCGGTGATGGCCGAGCCTCTTGCTGAACCGAGACAAATTTCCGACTGTTACGCGACGACCAACCCGCGTATCTAGCCGAAAGGGTTTATTTCAACCCATAAGCTGTAGATGGTAACCCTTGGTAACCGCACTCTTTTGCTCAAAAGCCAGCGTCTTCTTTCGAACTCCAACTTCAAAAAACCTCACCCACATCTTCGACGCTGACCGCCCAGGGAAAACACTATGACCTCTGTATGCATACCGCCTTGAAGTGAATTTTAACGATAGCTGATTTGTGGATCTCAGGTTGTAAACCTCGATATCTCGGACCCTGCCTCCCCCACCTCGGAGACCAGCTTCGAATTCGAAGGCGAGGGTACTCTTCCTCAGCTTCACGATGCTCTCGTCAACGCCAACGTTTTGGCTCAAGTGGACACGAGCCAGGTAATAGCCCTTCTTCCTGGGTTCCGTTTACTGCATGTCTTTGCTGTAGGTCCCGCAGGACGAGAAGACGGCTAAGTCGGATAATTGCCCGTGCCCGAATTGCCAGTGCGGAGAAACCACTTGCAAATGCAACCTGAAGTAATAACTCAGTCAAGGTGGAATTGACTATATAGTCAGACTCTACCTGTGTCTCGATTACCCGACGAACTTAGCTAACAAACACAAATAAACTGTACCTGCGGCAAACCAAATAGATGAAATTGGGAGTCAAGAACTTGAACGCGGTGCCGACTGCATAGCCCGGCATTCGGACGTATCCGGGTTGTTGTGCAACTTGTGCTTCGCTACTCCAACCGCCGGGGACATGTACAGCGTCCGCATTCTATTATGTAACTCAGCGCTATCAGCCCCGCACACAAGGTTAAGCTTCAGGCCGTGACTACGCTTTCCAGCGTCTTTGACCAACCAACCATTCAGATCCAAATTTATCATACTGCCAGTGAAAGTTCTCTAATTCATGGGTTCTGCTGCAAAGACAAGAGCGATTAAGCAGCGATTTCGTAGGTTATTCTTGCTACCTCGCGCACCGGAATAACTCTGCCTGTGTTTATATGTCTCTATATCGGCGTGCGGAGAAGACGATGGTATTGTGCCATCCATAAGCCGGTTTAGTAGAGAGCTGCTATGACGTCCTGGAGGGCTAGCGGTAGCCAGCAGTTTCTTATTGGCCTGGATGCCATAGATATTCACTGTAGTTGGTGGTTCGAGTCTGCCTCAGGAGACTTTCTCGGGAATGCTGTTCATTTTTGTTTGGGCTCCCTGGCAACGATGCTGCGAGCGTCCCAACTGCCTCTCAATTTGTACTTGATGCAATACCGAGCGTCCACTACGAATGCAAATATAATTTGACAGTGTCGAGGCACTACCTCACGGTCCATTGGTCGAATTCATTGACAGGCGGTTTAGAGTGATGTGCTCATTTATATCCGTCCTGGAAGGCTAGAAGTAACCCGCAGTCTCAACTGCTGCTACTATGTCGTGCTCGTTTACTGTATTCGGTCGGTGGTTCGACTTCACATCAGGATGTCAAAAGCTGGCAACAATGATTGCGAACATCTTTTAACTCCCAGGCAGCCCACTGCTGGTGTAGGCCTCTATGTTTCACATCGTCGTCTCTGAATGTCACTTGCATTGTGCTTTACCTGTACTCCGACTCGACCCGTGCCCCGATTATATATGTATGGTCTGCATTGGATTTGATGACATCGACTCGCGTTCCTTTCAAGCTCTCCCCAATCTCACATGTAGCAGCACAATGCTGTCTTACTGTTGACACACTGCAAACAGGATACACCAGATATGTCGGACACGACACACCGAGAGCTGCGACATACCCGAGCAGATGCGGCACTGCGCGCGACACATTCTTACACCTCTCAAGCATCTCCAACACATTGACACGAGCGCGACACATTCGCGCCGTCTGATTCAGGGCGCTCCGACAGGCGGATCAAGCGTGCCGGCAGTCAGGATAAGCGGGGTGGACTCAAACGACTTGAGTCTCGCATGGCACACAATATTACAGGAAGAAACTCATAGTTTTCCAGCTATTGATTACATGAAGTATCGTATATTCGCCGTCTTCACATACCCCGGAACAGTGCCGGAGGGTACCTATTGTTTTTCTGGAATAGGGCTGGGTCGCAATTAGCAGAATGCAACTTGGTGTTCCTCGCCTGTCCAGGGAGTGGCCCGAGCCAGAAGTTGAACTGGCGAAAATTAATACGCAGGTCACACACCGGCCGGCCATCACTTATGGATGCCTTTTTTGAACTCCGCCTTAGTTGTGTTGTGGTTCAAATCCACTATCACAGTCGCTGGCATGTGATTATCAGCTGTAGATATCATTTCGGTATCAATGCTGGCGATGATCATCGTGCATCAGGGCTCCCAGGCGCGCGCATACATCTCTCATTTTTTTGTCTGGCATCTCAGGCTGGTCTCAGACTCTCACGGCCAAAGCCTGGATGCGTCCAGCCAGAGCTCTTCGCTGCGCGGCCGACGCTGCCTTGAGAACGCCAGGCACTGCGCGGAGGATCCGCGGGGAATCGTCGAGGGAACGCCGGGCGCACCTCCCTTCACACACTTACTTTTACTACGCGCAGCCATCGTCCCGTTCACGCATGGTAGCGCGTCACAAATAACTGCGCGTGTGCCCTGCAATCAGGCCGGTGGCATGGTCATGGGTGCGATCCCACCGTCGGTGGCGGCGGCGGCTTAGCTCTCATATTCAATCATGCTGCCTCAGGCTTTCGACGTGGGAGTCCCGCGCGCGACGCGATCGTTTTATATAATATATGCGCATGCCAATGCCACTACTGCGTGCGGTGCTTCAGAGAGAAGGCCGGCATCTGCAGCCCGGCCTTGAGAAGGGAGAAGGAGAAGTTCAGCCTGAGTCTGTTTGGGAAGCGTACTGCCTGCCACTGCACGGGGTGACGTTGACGGATCTTGATGGGTTCACATCACGGCCGGGGCTTCGAGGCCAAGGCAATGGACTCGGAGGCTCGGGGCGGAGGCTGTCAGCGTGGGCCTGGGACTGCATGCAGCTGAGAAACGAATAGGCACAAGAATGGAAGGTGCGTGAGGAGGTGATCTACATCGGAGGCAGCGCGCGTGTTCCATGGCCGGAACTCACCTTACGTTAAAGTTTAAATCTCTTGGATTGAATGAACGCACGGATCTACTAGTAGCTTTAGGCTAGTAGATAGACATGCCATGGGCATCACATGTTCGAACGTCGCGCTGTGCGTTGGTCGGTGGCCGAAAGTTTCGTCGACGCGGACGCCCTCTGCTTGTTCCTCGGAAGGTACATCTACAACAACTCCAGCGCATGCGCACTGGCACAACGCAGGGTATATCGAGGCTGCCGCGTTATTCTTGCC